GTGCGGGTCATTAAGTGGGAAAAAGTGGGAGTCCCAGGTAAAAAGTGCATGGGTGCTATGGGGGCGGGGGAGGCCTTGGGCAGGTCGGCGGAACCTGCATGTGGGCAGGGTGTGTACTGTGGACAGGAGAAAAAGCAGCAGGAATGACTTACTGAAGTGACTTTGCAACCTTCCCAGCTTCCCTGTTGACTTTGCTTGTGGGAACCCAGAAGAGAAGGTCGCAAATGGTGATCACATGACTGTGGGGCTGCTGCAATGGCCAGAACTTTGAGGACTGCTCATATGTCAATTTTTTTCAAGCTCCGCTGTAACTCTGAATGGCCACTGAATGGATGGACCTAAGCTGTATCTGTATCTCTTATTGCATTACTTGAGCACTAAATAGTTTTTTTTCCTATCGTTCTCCTACTAGTTGTAAAAACAGGAATTCACTCAATTTCTGGCACTGTTTCTTTATTGATTTGGAAACATTTATGTGCCACCCACTCACCTTATTCTCTTCTATTAGCTTTGGAAAGAACAGAGCAGTAGGGCAAGGGGGACAGTAAGCCACAGATTAATCCACTTTTCTCAGGTGACCTGAAGTTACACATGCTTTAACTATTCCTTCTACCTGGGCACATTCGACAAACGTGGCCTGGTTCAACTAGGACATGCAAAAATATGCTTTTACAAATAATAGCTGTTACAGACAAATGGACAGTTAAAGCACGGGATTTTATTATTTTGGTAATAGCAAAATGTAACAGAAAAGAGATGATTAAGGGGCAAATCTGCAGGAAAAAAAATGAAAACAAAACCCCAAAGCACTAACCAACATGCTTTATAGATTTTTGTAGAATATAAAATATCCAAGCATTCCATACATTTATTTATGTTCATATAAAAATAATACAGCTTTTTTCTACTACTTCTTGTAAATTTTCTTAAGACTCACTTAAGATAGGGCTTCTCAACTGTGGCACAGTACTTGAGAATAGTGCCTCTCTAGGGAGATTTGGCTTACTCCAATATCTTTGGGGCAATTATCTTCCTAGGCTTTTAAGTTCTGATGAATTTTTCCTGCTATTTTTCCTGTATTGGGTCTACATAAATTATTGTGAGATATCATTAGCTATTACATACACTTTTCACTGATTAACCCACCCACCCCCCAATTATTCTCTAAAGGAATTTTTATCATGGTTCCCGCAGAGGACATCCGCAGAGGACAAGGAAGAACCAGGAAACACCTTGGTTCTCTCCTGTTAGGAGCCAGGCCCTAGCAGGGAAGAACTGGCCCAAGCTACAAGAATAATTGCTGCCTCAGATTCTAAGCCTCCTCCCGCTGAAGTTCTCATCATATTGTAGAATATAGAGTTGATCCAGAAGGGTGTAACAGTTGGACCCAATCATCCTCTTCCCCTTAACTATTTTTATATCTCAGACCTGAAGGCAATGAAACAAATGAGACAATAGCTAGAGCACTGTGGAGGAAGACTCACAGTGAATTTCACTGAATACAGGTGAGAATTCACTGTGAAGTTTACTATGAGGCAGTGAGGGTAGTAAAGAAGCAGAGTTCTTTCCTACCTCCCCTGCATCTTCACAAAACAATTGTAGGCAGTTAAGGGCTTATTATACTCTGACCTTAAAAAAGAATTTATAGAACCACAATTGTAGATTCAGAAGTGTTACCAGAGGTCATCTAGTCCAACTCTCTGCGCAGTACAGGATCCACTAGTTCACCTCTGACAGATGGCCATCCAGCCTCAGTTCAAGACTTATAGTGATGGAGAACTCTCCATTTCATATGGCAGCCTGTTCCATTAGTTAACAGCTTATATAGTAGGAAATTCCTCCTGCAATCTAATTTGTAATTTTTAACCAACCAGTTTTGATCCTGCCCTTATAATACAGAATAAGTTCATTCCTATCCAAATATTTGAGGACTATTATCAAATCTTCCTTCCGTCATTATGATCACATCCTCAACCACTTGCTGTGAAAAATTTGCAAGACACTTTGAAGATGAAGGCACCTGCCTCTTACTTAAGACTCCACACAGTTAATGCAACTGTCTAGATGTCTAGAATGTTATCTAGGTGTATGGAATGAATTCCAGTAGCTGAAGGCTAAGGACACATGTAAGATCTCTGGACAAGTTCAACTGAGCACTTCTAGGCTCAGCTGTTGCCCATTTTGGTTTGTACAATTTAATGATGAGGGAATATCTAATTGGATTCAGAAGATAATTAACTCCTCTTGAAGAGACAAAGTTGGTAGTTGTCAATTTGAAAGCCATGGTGATCAGCTGCTCCTGAACAAATGTAATGCGAATCTAGAAGTGGTGGACAACTACAAACTGGTTACTAACATCCCACTGCTTGACTAAGTAGTTGCCATCAACACCAGGTACTGGGAGAAAGTGATTTCCAGTTCCACTCCCTCATCCTATAGAATTATCTCTGTTGAAGGAGTGACATGGAGAATGTAGCCCAGACTACTGAATTTTCTGGTGGCTTTCAATATCATCAAACTCAGGGCGGTTTGTTTGTTTGTTTTTGGATCACCATGAATTGGAGGCACTGTTTTACAGTGGCTTTAATCCTAGTTGTTTGTGGGTCATTTCCAGAAGATGATGCAGAAAGATTATGTATATCATAGAGGTCCTTAGAACTCAATTTTATCCTGCCACATTATTTAACATCTAAATGAAAATGGTGGGGGTGTTATTCAGGGATAGGAACTGTCATCAATGTGCAAATAATACTCTACTTTATCTCTTCTTTTCATCTAAGCCAAAAAGGTAGTGGATATTCTGAATGGGTACCTGAACATTATAAAAGACTAGATGACAGCTGATAAACTGAAGCTCAATCCACACAGGACAGTATTTTTCTGACTGGGCTGCTTGCCAATATCGGAGATTTCTCCCCCTGAAAGATCAGGTATACAGTTTTGGGGAGCCATAAACGGTTTGTTTATGGACCCATCATTGTCACTGGAAGCAAAGGTGGTTTCAGTGACTAGAATAACTTTTTATTACATCATGTGGAAGCTCCTGTAGAGAGATAGTCTGGCATCTCTTATACTTGTGCTAATAACCTCTGGGTCAGACTGCTGCAATGCACTGCATGCTCAATACCTCTAAAGACAATTTAGAAACTTTAGTTACTCTCAGACAGAGCTTTAGGTTATTAACTTTAAACTGATCAATACAAGGAAGAACCAGGGAATGCCTTGGATCTCTCCTGCTAGGAGCCAGGAGCCAGGCCCTAGCAGAGAAGAACTGGCCCAAGCTATGAGAATAATTGCTGCCTCAGTGAGTTTTTAGGTGCAATTCAAAGTATTGATGTCGAACTTTAAAGCTCTGATGGCTTGGGGCCAAATCATATAAAAATATCACCTCTTATGCATGCATGTCTGGACACTTTTCTAATCTTTGGAGGCCCTCTTTCCAGTGCATCATGTACTGAAGCTAGAGAGGTGGCTGCTAGACTGTTCACAGTTGTGGGATTCCGCTTATGAAATCTCTCCTAAAATGCACGGCCCGGTGCTTACATTGTTGCCCTTTCTGTATAAGGTTACTAGGGCATTTCCTTCTCCCAGGCATTTCTGTTAGTTTAATATTATTTTAATTGTGTCTAAATTATACTTGGATAGAAGTTAAATCTATATATGCGTGTGTGTGTGTGTAATATTTATTTCCTGCAATATTTATTGATGTAGTTATTTTATTGTTTTTATTCCATAGTTCTGCCATCCACCCAGAGAATATATGTTACTGGAGGCATTAGAAAGTCTAACAAATAATAGGCAAACTTAATTGTCATAAAGAATGCAAAGCATTGAATAGAAATGAACACTTATATGCTATTAACCTGATGGAAAACAGATAAATCTGCAAGAACACTCTTCTACCCAAAAGAAGTGGTGAAAAAAAAAGCCTTTCCAGGGAATAGATTGGCACGTGAGGCCCCCAGGCAAATGCTTATCTGAGCTGGTTTTAAAACATTACCAGATAAGCCTATTATCTTTTGTGGCTGCCAAGAGAAGGTCCAAGGCCCAGAAGTGGATATCCAGAGAGGATATTTTATTTCAAGAACATTTATGCGAACTATCAATATGTCTTGTGATTACTTAAAGGTCATCTGACAAGTGCTGGTGAGCTTTTAGTATTAAATGGACCCCAGTCTTTGATTTAGTAGAACTTGCTATATGCAATTACTTAAAACATTAATTTCTTACATTGACACTATCCAACACTGGCCTGCCTTTCTTCAGCAATGTCTGCAAATGTGTTGAGCTCATTATGTCAAATGTTTTAGTGTTAATATCCTCTGCAATTGCAATGAAAAAATGCATTTAATTCTGGACTCTTACAGATGGAGAATAAATTGAACACAGAGAAATTGATTGTGGTTTGTCAAAGAAAGCCAGATGTTGTGAGAGAAAGTTCAGTTTACTTCATTTCAACTCAACATGGACTTTTAAGGGATGTGATAATCCACCAACATAGGGAAACAATGCCAGACACTCAAAATGCTTCTGTATAGACATCTTCATCTTCTGCCTGTGGGAGAGGCCATAATACTTGGTGTGCCTACATTTTGCTGCCCACCCACTGATAAAATACACAAAGAAATCCATCTTTTACAGAAACTCCTGAGCACAGTCACTGCCTTTTCTCCTTCTTGTTCTCCCTCTAAGTAAATTGCAGCCAATTATACAGTTAGAACACTGAATGGAAAATCCTTCCTCTCTTTGGGTTAGAAGTTCACAATACATATATAATTGCTCTAATTTTTCCCACCTCCTTTAGGGAGAAAGGCTATTTCTCTTTTTTAAAGGATATTACTAACCCTCTGGCAATTCCATTTATCTCCCTGGCACAATGATTCTGAATGTATCAGCTCTCTTTCACAGACACAGAGACAGAAAAAGAAAAGGAAAAAAGCCCAAGGAACACCTTCTGAGACAATGGGAACAGCAACTGTACATTGCACACATGCACAAAGACAATCTCTCCCTCTCTTTCTCTCTCTCTCTTACAGAAACTGTGACAAGGCCAACACAAAACAACAGATGACACTTTCATAAATATTGAAGTGCAGATACCCTGTAATAATGCAGAGTTAACAATGTGCATATTTTATTTATGCAACAGACAGCAGGGATCTGCTGATTTATTTGCTAGAGCTAAAAGGTTTGGAGGCATTACTGGTGCAACCAAGCAGGAGGGGTTAAAACTAAATTTTAACATAAAATCCATCAGGAATCAGCATTGCTCCCTTATCCCATTTTCATAAATCCTGCCTGTTGCCTTCTCCCAAACACAGAGATTGTCAAGACTTTAACTCCCTTATACTTTACTCTTATTACATAATTAGTAACCATGTCAGCAGATTCCTAGGAATTAAAAAGACATCCTGAAAAGCCACCAGTCTGCCACTCTGCATGTTTAACTTCCTTTCTTGGAGTCTGAATGAAATAATCCCCAGGAACAGCCACAAATCATGCTACTCTTGATTTATTATTATCTTCAGATTCTTCCAAGACAGCAGTACTTCTCTCATTTAGATCACAGGATGCTGCTTCCCCATATTCATCCACATTCTGGAACTTGGAGTATAGCATAATAAATAATATTGCACTTATTTGCACACACAAGACTATTATTTTAATATCACACAGTAAACATTTTTATTTTATTTCTTATTATTCCAAGTAAACGAAGTCAGCTGAAAGCCTACAAATGCTATATAGGAAAGTGCTGACATGTTTTCAGCTTTGTGTCATCAGGACATTTTCTTTTCCCTTTCTACCCCTACCCCTTTCACTTAGAAAACTCACAGAAATATCCTGTCAGATGTACATCACACGCTCATGGTCTACATGCTTACTTCTCTTTGCTACCTAATCACCAGGAGAGGAGATGCAGTACTGTGGACCCAGGGTCATGCCCTGAACACCTGAGGCCCAGATGCAGGGGCCAAGAGCACCATAAATTCTGATTTTCTTGAAAAAACGATTCTGACAAACTGTCTTCAGAGAACCTGGAAGGTATAATGTAGACAAAACTTAATATATGCAGTATCTTCCTGGATGCTGAAATTCTGAAGCAAGCCTGACTTTATCTTCTCTAGAGCAGTTTAATCCTCCATTGAATTAGTAGAGAAGTTAATCTATAACAGCATAATATGTTGCAGCATTTCCAAAGTTCAGGAAGGTGTTGTCAACACTTCTCAGTTTCATTCCTTACTTCCAATATCTCTCGACAATCTAGCTCTTTTTTCGATTTGCAATATACAAAGAATTGGCAGGGGATATCCCTGATGCTTCACTGTGGACTGAGGTATGACCATTAGAATTTGGACTGGCACTGGAGTTTTAGACAGATGGAATATCTAGTGGGTGCAATGATTTGGTTGATAAATTCTTTGTGGAGTTCATCAAGCAATGACTAGAAGTGCAACTGACCAGCTATTAAGAAGCAACTAGGCCAAATGTTTGACTTATTTAATAATCTCTGTAAGTGAAGCTGCAGATAAGTTGCTTTATAGGTTATTACAGAAATATGATTCATTTCATTTCATTTATTTAACAAATGTATATGGTTGCCCATCTACCAGAAGGAACTCTGGGCAATGAACAATAATAAAAGGGCAGCTGAATTTTATTTTATTTTTTATTTAGAAAGCCACCTGACTCCAAAATGACTTTGGGCGGCTTACATAATTAAGAAGGAAAAAAGGACATAAAGGGAATGGGATGTGTACATCTAGCAAAAATCACTGCATAGATTGCTAAAGAAAATCTGCCAACCTAATCACAGGCCTGGGAGCAACGCCAAGTCTTTAAACCCTTGTAGGGTAGGAGCTGTGCCAATATTCAAGGGGATGCTGTTCTAGAAGGCAGGCACTGCAACAGAGAAGGTGTGGTTCCAGGGCCCCACTAGATTACATTGTTTAATTGAGGGGACCTGGAGTGCCCCCACTCTATCCAAACTTGCTGGACAGGCAGAAACCACTGGAGATATGCAGTCCCTCAAATAACCAGGCTCTGTGCCATAAAGGGCTTTATAGGTAACAACTACTATCTTCAATTGGAATTGGAAGCCAACCAGCAGCCAGTGCAGCTCATGGATCAGTGATGTCACATGGGTGTATCAGAGTATTCCCATTACTAACCACACTGCTGCATTTTGGATTGCCTGTGGGTTCCATTAGTCTTCAAGGCAGTTCCAGGTACAGTACATTACAATAGTCCAATCAGAAGATGACTAGGGCATGAACAACTGTCTGAAAGGCCTCCTGTTCTAGGAATGGGTACAACTCATGCACAAGATGGACCCATGCAAAGGCCCTCCTGGCCACAGCTGCCACCTGCTCTTCAAGTAGTACCAGTGAGTCCAGGAGGATCCCCAAGTTGCACACTGGTCTCAAATGGGGAAGTGCCACCCCATGTGAGGTCAGATATGAAAAATTCCCAGATCCAGGAGGCCTGAACAGACAGAGCCTCTTGGTCTTGGCAGGATTGAGCCTGAGTCAAGATTTTGACTGTATCATCTGGAGAGCCCAGGGTCACATAATTGGGTATCATTTGCACACTGATTGGCAGCCCTCCCAGGTAAACCAGACAGGAAACACAACTAGATGAGTTAATTCTACTTTACTGTAAGGCTACATTAACAGAATCTTGCAAGTCTCAAAATACAAATCTCCCACCCTCCCTATTTACCGCCTGAGTAGTTAGGGTGGGTCTTTCCTAAGTTTCTTTCTCTGGCTGTTATTCTGTTGTGGACTCTTTTATCTGATCACTCCCTAGGCAGCATCTCTTCCCCCCATCTTCCAAGCTCACCCTCACATTCCATCACATCAATCAACCAGCATGATCAATGCGGTCTCCATACTGTACTGTGGCCTGAGGGCTGACTGAATCAGGTCCAGATAATTTGTTACCTCCAAGAGTCCTCTGCAATTTTGCTCAACAACCTTTCCAAGAAAAAAAAAGTTGAAGACAGGATGATAATTGTCTGAAAAGGTTGGGTCCAGTGATGGCCTCTTGTAGACCATATGGAAGATGACCTTGACAGAGATAGGCCAGATCCATTACCAAAGCAATGAGGAGAAAAACATGACTTAAGTCCAAAACAAGCAGGAAGTATGCATAAGTGGTTCAGACAGACACTTCCCTACTTCATATGGTTATGAGAAGGGGAGGAGGCACAATACAATCAGACTTGCAAGATTCTGTTATTATAGCCACTCTTAATAAAAGTAGTCTCAGCCTTCCTGTAGAGTTGTTTCTTAGTCTGGTCTATTTGGTGGAGCTAACACCTCTTCAAGAGGGTATGTACCACTGCCTCTTTCAAGGCCAGAGAGACCACCTCCTCCCTCAAAGTGGCCAACGCTGTCACATGAACCCAACTACATGGATCTTCCTGGGTTGCCCTAACAACCCAGGGAGGACTTGAATCTATTAAACAAGTGGCTGAACTCACAGTTTGGAGAACCTTGTTCAAACTCAGTAGAGATAACCCCCCGAGACCATGTCTCAGGCATCTCACTTAGATCTGTTCAGATACTCGTTTTCTTTGCTAGTTTAATTTCGTTTTAGAATGCTCATGTTTCAGATTCTGTAATGAAGTGGAATTTAAGATTTTTAGGAACAGAAGATATTTGCAGTTAGTTTGAAAGAATCCTCATGTTCCATACCTCAACCCTCTTTCAGGCCTTTAAGCTTTTTTGATATCCACTGTGTTCTTCAAAACACTGTGTGTCTGCCATCCACATTCAGTGACAAAACAGCTACCATCAGCATCACTATTACTGTTTATGTATATGACATTTGTAAATATTCTTTATGGTACATTGCATATAAGACAATTGGATGTGTATGGATATTGTCTATGAGAAAGACACAGATGCAAAAATAATAACAACAACTACTACTAAGGGAAATTCTTTATATCCTCAAACAGACCTCAGTTGCTCAGATGGGGCTCTACACCTGCAAATGTCATCAAATTCTTCCAAGGGCATTAACATATAATCTTCTTAGAATCAATGTAGAAGATCAAAAAAGGAACATCTACCCCTCCCACCTGTGCATCCACTGCTGGATGAGACTGGCATCCCAAATGATGCTTTAAACCAGGGCAGATCATACACACCATTTCAATAGGTGAGTCTCTCTTCTGTGTATCTAAATTAATATCTTAAGAATACTATTCCTAAAGTATCTTTCTGCCAAATGGCACATTATAAAGGATCGAGTGCCAGCAGAATCCTTGTGGGACTATTTAGCCTAATATGAAAAGTATTCTTCCATAATTCAGATTATTCACCAAGGGAGGGAGCTAAATTATAGTTGCCTCTAACTGACAAAGGATTCCTGGTACACACAATGGAAAGATACCCACATTTGTAGCAAATTTGCAGTCTAACATAAAATTGCACTTTAATTTCTTTGTTTGTATTTCAAAGTCCATGTAATTCACACAAATGCCTCTGGGGTGTCAATAAAACAAGCACTGAACACATATTAAGCAAACACTTAATTGTGTGTGTTTGCTCAAACATGTGATTTTTTTGGAATGCAGATCAGCAGAGAAACTGACCTGATTTGTCAGTATGAATTCTGTATGAAAGCATGATGTACATTTAAACAAATGACCAAACAAACAAATGAATTTTGAAGTAACAGCAGATCCTACACCATTTTCTCTCTTCCTGGTTCCTCCCAAATCAAAGTTAACACAAACCAATTTAGTGTAAGAATTGTCTAAGATAAAGCTTACTGCTGACTTAAAAATGTTTCCATACAGTAGTCAAAGTGCATGCATTTTGATAGCCTCATATCAGTCTGTTACCATTTCTCAAGAAGTGCATTTTATATCAAAATACCACCTACAATAAGAAAAAAAGCTTAAGACCTCTTTGTGCTTTTGGAACACTTCAAATTATTTCCATATGACAGATAACTGACTCAGACCATTTATATGTCACATTTCTTGCTTAAATTGTT